CACGAAAGTGGAGACCGCTGATGCTGATATTGTCTGTGGCTGCGAGGTCGGTGCGTTCCGTGAAGGCTTTCGCCGAGCAGGGATCAACGTGACAGAGATCCTCAGTAAGCCTTTCGGTGATGGCATTGGCTTCTCGGAGGTCGACAACTACTTGACTCTCTGGGGCTTCCGCGGTGCTTCTCAGCCTGCGGAAGTGACTCCGTGCGAAGACAGCAAAGTTTACAGGCCTCCTAGCGGGCGAGAGATTGATGCTGTCATTTCACAGTTTGAGGTGAACAAACCAGGCCATGACAAGTTCTACGTGGTGATCGCCAACATGCACATCGTCTGCAGCAAGAAACCGCCGACCATTCAGATTCGAAAGCGGACAGTTCGCCATCTCCGCTTGCACCTGGACGGCATCGCTCAGATTCTCAATGCTTCGGAGCCGCGCGTGCCAGTCGTTCTGCTTGTAGTCGGCGACGACAACCTGACTTTCCAGGAGGCGCGGGAGGCTTTAACCCCAGCGCCAACAGTAAAACTACGAGAAGCTCTGGGAGGCAGGGAGGTCCAGCCACTCCGGTCCGCGACCTCAAAGGCGACCAGGTCGCGGGTGCTGTCCGGGCCTTAGCTGCATGCAGATGCACTGCGCACGACCTACGGCAGGGTGTTGCGCTACAACCTGGACCCCACGAAGTACATGCGCCCGCAGGAGACGCGGGGACGCATGCCTGTGAAGATCTTGTGCGGAGACTTCTACCAGTTGCCGCCAGTCCCCGCCACCGCTTCCCTGCTGGCGCCTCACGCGGGCCAATCCTACGACCGCCAACAGGGTAGGAAGTTGCTCGCCGACATCGAGTACGTCATCGATTTCGTGCAGATGCAGCGCTTTACAGACCCGTTGCAACTCGAGGTTCTCCACGCCATGAGAACTCCAGGCGGAAAAAAGATCTCTGACGAGAGTTGGCAGGCGATCGTCAAAACAGAGGTCGTTAGCTCTAGCGGTGCTGCTCAGCCTGCTGCCAGCAGCAGCCAAGCCGCTCAGCCACCTCAGTGGGACCCTCGGTTGCGTGCAGCACGAGGCTGGTACGAGTCGGCCTATGAGTGGCGCATCGTCACTTACGCCATGCATGCACAGGCCAAGCTTGATGCGCACGATGCTGGCCAGCTGCTCTTTTACGTCCCAGCAATCGACAGACCAGCTGCGCGCCTCGCGAAGCCTGATTACGACGAGATGCGCGCGGAGCCCAACATCGGCGCTACCGCAAAAATGCCAGGGCTGCTGCCGCTCTTCATTGGCATGGAAGTCATCCTGACGGAATCCGCCCTGCCGCCGAAGTATGTCCGCGGTGCGCCAGGCAAAGTGGTAGGCATAGAGCTGCACGCTCTGGAGCCTCCGCTGGAGGGCCGGCCGTCCATTGTATCGGACGGTGTGGTCGTACACTACTACATGCCAAAGGCTGTGTATGTCAAGATCGATGACAGCGATGAACTCTTCTTGAAGGCCGCGAAGGTAACAGCTGGCAGTGCTTCTCAGTCTGCCGGCCCTGACCTGCGCGGAGTGCTCGCGATCACACCGCAGGCGCGCCCGTGGAAGTTCAAGGCGAAGACAGGTGGCCCGGCCATCGCGGTGTCCAGGACGCAGTTGCCCGCGTTGCCCAAGAAGCAGGGGACTCTGCATGGCGTCCAGGGCAAGACGGCGGATCCAGGCTTCATCGTCCACTGGACGTTTCCGCCCGGACTGAAGAAGGAGTCCATTTGGCTTGCCTACTACGTCAGCCTGTCGCGCCCCAGAAGCTTCAAACAACTCTTGAGCCACGGCTTGCCTGACAGGAGCATCATCGAAGGCGGCCCCCCCGAACAAATCGCCAAGGCTTTCGCCGAGCTCTTCGCGGACAAGATTGCCGCGACGAAGATCGCTTGCGCGAAAGCTCGACAAGACTTAGGCTGGCCTGCACGAGCCTGAGGAACCGTGAGTTGCAGCATGATGAGCCGGCCAGTTTGGTGCGTCACAGCCTGCTCTTGCGTGGTGTTTCTCAGCCTGCCGCTTTCTGTATGCTAGCCTTAGCTTCAGCCTCCACTTGCGCGGCCGCGGTGCTTCTCAGCCTGCGACTCTTCGCGGTGCTTCTCAGTCTGCAGCCGGTTGTCGCGTTGTGCTTCTCGTCCTGCGCTTCCTGTATGCTAGCCTTAGCTTCAGTCTCCAATTGCGCGGTCGCGGTGCTACTCAGCCTGCGACTCTTTGCGAGGCCTCTCAGCCTGCAGCCGGTTGTTCGCTTCAGATGCCGACTGTACCTGTGCGCAAGGAGATACAAGCATCCCCGTCTGCTGTGCAAACGATGATAGACATGAGCGCTTCCAAAACAACATCACGAGATAAATAAAAAAAAAAAAAAAAAAATAAAAAAAAAGAAAACATCAAAGAAAAAAAAATAAAAAAAAAAAGAAAATATAAAAAAAAAAACAAAAAGGGGGGGGGGGGGGGGGGGGGGGGAAAAAAGCACATACTAATGCATACAGGCCGTCCTCGCTTTCATCGACATACATCGTTTGAGATTCCATGCGTTCATAGCAGAGTGTCGTTTAGATACACATCCATTCAAGTTCCTAGCGTTGATAGCAGTGTCTCGTTTGGACGGACATCCATTCAAGGTCGGCGCGTTGATAGCAGTGTCTCATTTGGAGAAACATACTTTCAAGCTCCATGCGTTGATAGCAATGTCTCCTTTGAACAAGCATCCATTCATTTTCCACGCGTTGATAGCAGTGTCTCGTTTGGACATATATCTATTCCAGTTCCGTGCGTTGATAACAGTGTCTCGTTTATACATGTAGTCATTCAAGCGACATGCGTCCATGGCAGTACCTTGTTTGACAACGCATCGAATCAAGCTCAGCGCGACGATGACAACAGCTTTTGCATCACTATTACTGTTACTGTTGATATCACAGTGCCTCTCACTGCTGCTGCATGTTTCAGTTATACTTAGAAACATCGCTGTTAGGTTGCTTTGCCGGGATAATTGAACATGTACGTTTTACGATAGGAATGGGCCAATGTTTGCGTCTAGGGGCCCTCTTGGGACGCATGTTGGAGGCTTCTTGGGGCCTCTTAGGGGCGTCCTTGGACGTCTGGGGTCTCCTGGGGCCTCTTGAGGGGCCTCCTGGGGGCCTCCTGGCGGCCTCTTGGGGCGGAAGGCTCGAGCTTGCGGTTCGTGGTCCCCCACTGGGCCCCCTCTTGGGCCCGTCTTGGGGCCCTCTTGGGCCATCTTGGGCGCCTCTTGGGCCGTCTTGGGGCCCTCTAGGGCTGTCCTGGGGCCCTCTTGGAAGCTTCTTGGGCCGTCTTGGGGCGGTCTTGGGCGCCTCTTGGGCCGTCCTGTAACGTCGGAAAGCCCAAAAGGCGACTTTGTTGAAAATGTACGTTTTACGAAGGGAATGGGTCAATTTTGCGTCTAGGGGCCCTCTTGGGACGCATGCTTGAGGCTTCTTGGGGCGTCTTGGGGGCGTCCTTGGACGTCTGGGGTCTCCTGGGGCCTCTTGAGGGGCCTCCTGGGGGCCTCCTGGCGGCCTCTTGGGGCGGAAGGCGCGAGCTTGCGGTTCGTGGTCCCCCTCTGGGCCCCCTCTTGGGCCCGTCTTGGGGCCCTCTTGGGCCATCTTGGCGCCTCTTGGGCCGTCTTGGGGCCCTCTTGGGCTGTCCTGGGGCCCTCTTGGAAGCTTCTTGGGCCGTCTTGGGGCGGTCTTGGGCGCCTCTTGGGCCGTCCTGTAACGTCGGAAAGCCCAAAAGGCGACTTTGTTAAAAATGTACGTTTTACGAAGGGAATGGGCAAATTCTTGCGTCTAGGGGCCCTCTTGGGACGCATGTTGGAGGCTTCTTGGAGCCTCTTGGGGGCGTCCTTGGACGTCTGGGGTCTCCTGGGGCCTCTTGAGTGGCCTCCTGGGGGCCTCCTGGCGGCCTCTTGGGGCGGAAGGCTCGAGCTTGCGGTTCGTGGTCCCCCTCTGGGCCCCCTCTTGGGCCCGTCTTGGGGCCCTCTTGGGCCATCTTGGGCGCCTCTTTGGCCGTCTTGGGGCCCTCTTGGGCTGTCCTGGGGCCCTCTTGGAAGCTTCTTGGGCCGTCTTGGGGCGGTCTTGGGCGCCTCTTGGACCGTCCTGTAACGTCGGAAAACCCAAAAGACAACTTTGTTGAAAATGAACGTTTTACGAAGGGAGTGGGCCAATTCTTGCGTCTAGGGGCCCTCTTGGGACGCATGTTGGAGGCTTCTTGGGGCCTCTTGGGGGCGTCCTTGGACGTCTGGAGGCCATCTTCAGCAACTCGGAGCCCTCTTGGAGGCCTCTTGGAAGTTTCTTGGGCCGTCTTGGGCGCTTCTGGGGCCGTCTTGTCTGACCGGGGAGGCCTCCGGCAAGCCCCGACGAGCCTCCGGGCCCCCCGGGGCGCACATTTGTGGTCGGGGTCCCGGCCCCGGGCCCCCGGACCCGGTGCGCCGGTATATTAAGTAATATAAATTAATATATATAAATATATAAATTAATACATATAAAATATATATATTGATGAAATATATATATAGAAGTATGCATAGTCCCGGCAGTGATATAAACATATTACTAACATTAGATATATAGAGAATAGGTCAAGTGGGTAGGAGTAAATATCCAGACATAAAAAATAGAAATCGCGAGTACTGTCGACGTTGGTAGCGACATTTCCGCACACTCTTGCTGAGTGGCGGGACAGGCCAATCGCACATCGACCGCCTCGCCCCCGTCCCCCCAAATACCCCACCCTCCCGACACCCGAGGGTTGCCCATCGTATGGCGCCCCCGCATGGAATCCAACCGGAGGGGGAGGGTTAGGGGGAGGGGGAGTGGGGGAGGGGGAGGGGGAGGATGAATAGTAGGGAGGATAGGAGGAGGAGGAGGAGGAGGAGGAGGAGGAGGACTCCCACGACTCCGGAATCCGCCTGCCCCGCGACGGTGCCGACGCCGCGACGGCGAGAGGGCGCGCGCGCCGCCGGCGGCCGGGAGACCCCGCCGAGCAGCGCCGCCGCCGCCGCCGCCGCAGAGCCGGAGCCGCCGTCGGCATCGCCCGCGGCTGCCGCGGCGGCCTCGGCAACGGCCGTCGGCGACGGCGACCGTGGGCAACCACGACCGTCGGCGGCAGCGACGACCGACGGCATCGACGACCGCCGACGGCAACGACGGCCGTCGGCGACGACGACCGCTGGCGGCGACGACGACCGAGGACAACGACTGGCGACGACGACGACGACGACGACGACTCAACTCAACTCAACAACTCTAGGAGCGATGTCGAGTCGTCCACTTCACTGCGCGACGACGACGACGCCGCCGACGACGGTCGTCTCAGACGGGGAGTACGAAGGCGACGGAGATCGGACGACGGCGGCGACAAAAGGGTGGCGACGAGGGCGAGAGGAGGGGGAGGACGAGAGGGGAGAGAGAGGGGGGAGAGAGAGGGAGGGGGGCGAGGGAGAGAAGTGGAAGTGGGGATGGGCGAAGACGAGCAGGAGGGGGGTCAGAGGTGGAGGGGGAAACGAAGGATCAGGGCGAGGAAGATGGGGAAGAGGTGGTGCACGGGGGAGAACGCCCCACGTGTTGGCGTCGCGCTGCGGCGTGGAGAGGGCGAGCAAGAGCATACTAGCACGCCTTTTCCTGGATCTTGGAGGGCCTCCGATCGTCCTCCCCTGGATGAAGGAAAGAACTCCTCCTCCAGCTCCTCCTAGATGTAGAGAAAAACCTTCTTTTCCTCGGAAGGACCCCGAACTCTCGAATCCTCGAATCCTCGATCATCCCCCTCCTCCTCCTCCTCCTCCTCCTCCTCCTCCTCCTCCTTCCTTCTCCTCCTCCACCTCCCCCCTTCATCCTGCTCCTCCTCCTCCTCCTCCTCCTCCTCCTCCTCCTCCTCCTCCTCCTCCTCCTCCTCCTCCTTCCCCTCGGCTCCGAAAACCCGAGCTTCTCGATTCTCGAACCCTCGAGTTCGAACCTTCGATCCTCCTGCCTGAACTTCCGATGAAGCCGAACCTCCCCATCCTCGAGCCCTCGCCCATCCGGAAACCATCGATACTCTGGGCATCCTCGATCCTCGATTCCACACAAGGGCTCCCAGATTCGCGCTTCGCGCCGCGCGAAGCGCGAACTTCGCGCCCCCGCGCCGCCTCCCAGGGGAGAAAAAGGAGGACGAGGGATCGGCGCCGAAGCGCGAAGCGCGAATAACTTCGCGCCCTCGAGGGGCGCCCTTGCCACAACTCTCCTCGAGCCCTCGAACCCTCGACTCCTCCGCCCCCTCCGAATCCCCCCCCCCCTGCGGCACCGACGAGAGCCTCGGCCCTCGGACCCCCGAGTCCGAGATCCGCAGACAGCCGATCCACGAGTCGTTGATCCGAGGCGGGAATTCAGCCGCCGTGAGTTCGCCCCCCCCCTTCCCCTCCTCCTCCTCCTCCTCCTCCTCCTCCTCCTCCTCCTCCTCCTCCTCCTTCTCCTCCTCCTCCTCCTCCTCCTCCTCCTTATCCTCATCCTCCTCCTCCTTCTTTGGAGCCTCTTCGGCCGTTTTGGGACTTTCTTGGGGGCCTCTTGCACCGTCGTCTCCGCTGTGAAGACCGACAAGCCGTAGATGCTAAAAACAAGCGTTGCCCTATGCAGAATCAATGATTTTGGCCTCTTGGGGCCCTCTTGGAAAGCCTCTTGGGGGCCTTTTTTGTTGCAACGTACCTCAACTATGCAATAAGATATCATTGCTGTTGCCTTCCCGCAACGACTGATGTGGCGAGAAGCTTGTGCGCACCAGTGCTACGAAACATTAAAATACAAGGAAAGCGCCACAACCGAATTCGGCGCAGGCGAAAATATTACATCGCAGCTGTAGCAAAGAGCAGCCTCCTTGTGATGTTAAGGATCTGTTTAAGGCAGATTGCACTGCGTCAAAGATGTGTGGGTGGGCTGCCTCAGACATCCAAGCTGCAACCACTCCATGCTCGTCATCGCCTGCCTTAACCAGCTCTTCTGTGCCAACTTCCCATCCAAGCCATAAGTGAACCTCAATATTCCGACTGGGACGAAAGGACGCTTTCCGAAGACCTCATTCGCGAATTTGAAAAACTTGTCACACAATGGCATGCGGACACCGTTACGAAATAAAGAAAACATTGAGTTCCCCACAACATTTCCCCAACAGTTCTGATCACAGAGATGCAACAGCCGCGACTGAAGAACTCCCAAAGGGCACACAAGATCACTGCTGATGGATGACAGGCTGTTCACAAGCAGGGCTCGAATCTTATGTGCTCGCTCCAGATCCACAATGATGTCGGGCCACACCAATCGGAGGGAAGTTTTCCATTTTCCCCCACGGGGTGTCCATTTTTTTCTCTGCACTTCCATATTCTCGGTTTGCCTGTAGCGTCATAGACCGCCATGTCAAGCGACCCGCAGTTTGGGAAGGCTTGGACCAGGATGCATCCCAAAGCGTCAGTAAAAGGACTGCCAGACCCAATGAACTCCTCCATGGCAGTCGCTATCTCGCAACTACCTTTAGTTAGCTTCCACATCGAGGAAGAAGCGGAACGCCGGGGAGGCCATTTCATGGATCGTAACAGGGACGCCAATGTCAAACAGCCCCGCCACGATCCTGTGGAACTGCAGCATGTCGAAACAGTTCTGAATGGACAATGCATAACCATGTGGGTCAGACGGCGAAGAGTTTGATACCTTGTGCTCGCAAATATTTCGCGCCTCAGCAATGCGCTTGCCGATACCTCCATTCACGACGTGCGTGACGTTGTTCCCACGGACATCGACAACATGGTTGTGGACGAACTGCTGCATACGATGACCGATATGCACAACGCGGACACCATGAAAAATGGATTTTGACACGTCCTCATTGAACTTCCTTGTCCCTACAGTGTCCTGGATATGCTTCAAGATGCGTCTCTTGTCCTTCTTATCTGTAGCTTCACACTCTTCCACCCTGGGGAACTCAATGTCGCACGCAAAATAACAAGATGCGATTTCCCCCTTGTAGGTAACAGGAATCTCCATTTCAAGAGCCTGCCCAATCTCCGCCACAACCCATACCCGCCTGACTGTCTTCAATTCTTTGTCAAGGGACACAACCAAGCCATTCATCAAACACACGACCAAGTCGAATTTGTCTACTTCATGGTCAAAGTCCGTCTTCAATGACTTCACTGTGCCACACTGGCATGGATTGTACTTGGGTTTGCCGCATCCTAAGCAAGGGTCTTCTCTAAGAAAGACGGCAGGTTGCTTTTCCACTCAGGCTTGTCGTTACAAGTCCAGCAGTCACCACAAATGCATCTGTGCTCATTAACTGCAAAGATGCAGAGCCAGTACGTATTTTCCAACACACTACGCCTCTCCATTCCGATGTTTTTTCGAAAGCTGTCTGCGTCAAACTTATCGCCGCGCACATATTGTTCCTTGAGGCGTTGGAGATCAAAACCAGATGCATCTGAGAGAATGTTGAGCACTGTGGTGAAGAGCTCTGAATCCCACCAATGACTCACTAGTTTCTGCGCTCTCTTCCCCCCGCCATGCTTCATCATGAAATCCGAGGCCATGTAGCAACTCTGTTCGTTGCTAGTCTCAGGGATCACAATGTTCCGCACAACGTCTTTTGTCAAGGTCTTGGCTGTGATCATGCCCTTGCGCTGGTACACATCATAAAATGTCAACAAGTGCTGGATGGAAAACCCTTGACCTGCAAGCCTCCTTGCCGTTTTCGCAAGTGCTTTTCGAGTCTCTGTCAACCACTTCACCGCTAGCCTCTGCCATGAAAGCTCACTCGGGATCACGAGGTGCTCGGAATGCAAATGCAATCAAAGTCTTTCCACACCAATCCTCCCCAACCGCATACTCAACACGCACAGAGTTCGCCTCCACAAACTTCACGACTTCGCCATCCACCCACTTGTCAGCCGATCGGCTGAAAACCCGGACTGGGTCGCCTTCATGCAATGCGCCTGGACAATGGTCACGTTTGCGAGTCATCGTCTTTACTGCGCGCCGGTGGTCAGAGAGGCGTCTGCTCTCAGAGTGGCAACTCATGGGAGCCTCCCATACCATCTTGTCGGCTCTTGCGAATCGACGCTAATCGACTCTGATCGACGCTAATCGACGCTAAATCGACGCTAGCCGACGCTAGCTGACGCTAAATCGGCGTTCTCTCATCGACCCCGAGACGCTAATCGACGCTAACCGACGCTAAAGACGGAACTGAAAGGGTACACCTGGCTCCCATGATTTGCTACCGAATGCTCTCCGAGCGATGGCGTGGCTGCGGGTTCCCCAGTGTTTGGGGCTGGCGACCACCGCCACGGCAAATGTCCTGCGATGACTGGGCTGGAGCCATCGAAAATGTAAGTAAGTTGCACTACCTGCGAGAGAAAGCAAACACGAAAGCTTGGTCGATTTAGCCGTGATTGCTTGAGCCAAAATGGCTACGGAGCCTCTTGGGGGCCTGTTGGGGCGTCTTCGCGGTCTCTTGGGCACTGTGGGAACCGTCGTGGGCGTCCAAGGGTTAGTTTAGAGCGCTCTGGGGCCGCCATGGAACGTTTTGGGAGCCTCATGGGGCCCTCTGGCCACGCCTTGGCCGCCCCTCGGGCTGTCTTGGGTCGTGTTGGTAGCCTGTTGGGGCCGTCTTTGGGGCCTTTTGTACCGTCGTGCACGCCGTGAAGACCGAAAAGTCGTAGATGCTAAAGATGTACGTTTTCCTATGCAGAATCAATGATGTTGGTCGCTCGGGGCTCCCTTGGAAAGCTTCTTGGGGCGTCGTAGCGGCCTCTTGGGCTCTGTGGGAGCCATCTTGGGCGTGCAGGGGCGATCTTTGAGAGCCCTGGGGCCGTCTTGGACCGATTTGGGAGCCTCTTGAAGCTCCGTGGACACGTCTTGGCCGCCGCTTGAGCACGCATATTGGGCGCCCGAGTTATCCGGGGTAACTCTGGTCCGGGGTAACTCGGGTTTGGATTCCCGAAAAAGGAATCCGAGTTAGCCCTGACCCGAGTTACCCCTGATGATTCGGGGCTCTGGACGCCCGAATTATCCGGGGTAACTCGGGTCCGGGGTAAGTTGGGTTCGGAATCCCGAAAAAACGAACCCGAGTTATCCCTGACCCGAGTTACCCCTGATGATTCGGGGCTCTGAGCATTGGCCGCCTCTGGGGCTGTCTTGGGCTCCTCCTGGGCCGTGTTGGGAGCCTCTTGGGCCGTCTTGGGGCCGTCGTGGGGCCGTCGTGGGGGCCTCTTGTACCCTCGTGCACGTCGTGAAGACCGACAACACGCAAATGCTAAAAACGCATGTTTTCCTATACAAAATCAATGATTTGGGCCGCTCGGGGCTCTCTTGGAAAGCAACCTGGGGCGCTGTAGCGGCTGCTTGGGCTCAGTGGGAGCCGTCTTGAGCGTCCAGGGGCGATCGTTGAGCGCCCCGGGGCCGTCTAGGCCCGGTTTTGGGGGCCACTTGCGCCTCCCTGGGCACGTCTTGGCCGCCTCTTGGCCCGGACAGGACCGCTCCCGGAGCCCCGGAGCGGCCATGGGGGGCGCAGGTGCCGGCCTGGCGGCCCCGATCCCCTTCCGCCGGCATATATATATATATATATATAGGTGTATATATATAAAAACTACATATATATATATATATGTGTGTGTATATGTATATATACATATATATATGTGTGTGCATGTAGAAACGTATAATTATATTACGGCGGACACTTACCAGTCACGTTCTTGCCACCACCAACACGGGCGCTCTCTCTCTCTCTCTCGTTGTCCCTCCCTCTCCTTATAATATGTATGTATGCGTGTATGTACGCATGTGTGTATGTATGTATGTGTGTATGTATGTATGTATGTATGTATGCATGCATGCATGCATGCATGCATGCATGCATGCATGTATGTATGGATGTATGTATGCGCGCAAGTATGCATGCACGCATGCATGTGTGCATGTGTATGTATATACATAAATACACGCATACACACAAGCACAAAATCCCACCAGCCCTCTGGGCGCAGGAGGTCTGGGGCGTTTCCCTTTTCCAACCTCCTGCTTTTCCCTGCTCGGGAGGTTTACCTCCCCCCCTGCGTGTGGACGGGGGGGGACGGACCCATAGCAACGTCCAAGATGGCCCAAGATGGCTCCAAGAGGGCCTCCGAGAGCGCAAAATGGCCCACAAGATGGCCCAAGCTAGCGGTAGACGGGTCCAGATAGCCTCCGACACGCGTCCACGGGGCCCCAAGACGGCCCCAAGACGGTTTCAAGTGCCCTCCGAAGCCTCCAAGGACCCCCCCAAGAGGCCAAACTCCTTCAAATACCTAGGGAACATCAATGTTGTTTGCCTTTTTCGTGTTTTTCGCCTCCGAAGGGCTTTTGAGGCCGCAAGATGGCCCCAAGATGGCCCAAGACAGCCCCAAGAGAGGCCCAAGAGAGCCCCAAAACGGCCCCAAGAATGCCCAAGAGCGCTCCAAGAGCGGGCCAGGAAGGTCCCAAGACGGCATGTCTGAACCTCCGAGGGGGGGGGGGGGCAAGAATTGCCCCCCCCCCCCTAGCCGTAAGGGCCAAGACGGCCCCGAGAGGCCTCCCATACCCCCCCACAAAGAGTCCCAAGAGGGCTCCAAGACCCTCCAAAAGAAACTCAAGAGGGCCCCAAGAAGGCCCCAAGAGGACCCCAAGAGCGCTCCAAGAAGGCCCTAAGAGGACCTCAGGAGAGCCCCAAGAAAGAGCCCCAGGAGGCCCCAAGAGGGGCCCAAGGGAATCCCAAGCGGGCCCCGAAATGCCTCGAAGTTTCGGAACGCACGCGAGCTTAAGATACAAGTCAGTGCAACAGCCATTACGATTCATCGAAATACCCCCCACCTCTCATCGAAACACCATCGTAACTAGCACCGATTCCCATCTTAAACTTCAATGCGGGAAGCTATGTGTGATGCTTGTGTTCTCGAAGACGGCTGCGCGACTGCATGCGTTCTGCCGACCCTGATTCGCCAACTCCCCAGCCGATCGTTTCTGGATGGGCTGGTGGGGATGAGCGAAGCGTCAAGAATTAAGCGATGCTGGACTGCTGAATTCTTTGGGCTGCCTATGTTATGGTACTTTCTTTCCTGGGCTTCCAAAATCACGAAGATGGCCCAAGTGGCTGGAGGTTTCCAGCGGTCCACCCCTTGCGGCGTAAGAAAGGCGCAGAAAACACTCTGGGGGCTCTGTTGTTCGCCGCGACTGGACGTAGCCGCGGGGAAGGGAATGAACAGGGGAGGTGAAGGTGTCCTAGGGGGAGAAGGAGGAAGAGGAGGAGGAGTTGGTGAGGTTGGAGGAGGCCGCAGAAGATAAGAAACAGGAGAAAAAGGAGGAGGCGGAGGAAGAGGAGGAGGAAGAGGAGGAGGAGGACTTCTCGCTCTCACCCATTCAGTTCTATGTATTATCAACCTCCTTCTCGCAAAACCTGGGGGGGATGCGACTTATCTGTACCCCCATTCATCTTGCTAGCTCGAAGAGCCACACGCGCTGGCAGATGCAACACTTGATTGCCTGCGCGGGGGCCTGGCCGTTGACCCCAACGGGCACAAGGGCCCCAAAAGTAAAAAAACAAAACAAAATCGGGGGGTAGGAGGAAGGAGGAGGAGGAGGAGGATGAGGAGGAGGCAGAAAGTAGGATGAGGAGGAGGAGGAGGAGGAGGAGGGACGACGACGAGCCGACGATGGGAGGGGAGGTTCTGGGGAGGAAGGGAGGACGTTGGGGAGTGAGGAGTGAGGACCGAGGCGGGGTGGGATCTGGGGGTGGGGAGGGGTGGGGGGGTGGGGGGTAGGGAGAGGAGGGGGAGGGGGAGGGGGAGGGGGAGGTGGAGGAGGAGGACGAGGAGGGGGAGGAGGAGGGGGAGGAGGAGGAGGAGGAGGGGGAGGAGGAGGAGGAGGAGGAGGAGGAGGAGGAGGAGGCCTGGCCCGTCGCTTATCTCATACCTCGCAAATTCACCGACAAAACGGTTCGGTCGGCGCAGATGCGAGGGCAGAGCGGCGGATCCTAGGAAGCGGTGGACGAGGGCGAGGTCGTAGCACGTGATGGCGTGCAGGGACGAGCCCGATCCAATGAGGACAGAGCTCAACATCTCAAGACACACACGGCGTAGGCTGAGAGGGGGCCGCGGGACCCTGTGCCAAACACCAGGGCTCAGGACGGCCTCGAGAATCAGTGCCTCACCACAGAGCCAGCTGAGCACAGGCAGTCCCGCGGAGCCCAAGACAGAAAAAGGAGTTCCACGGAGGAGGAGGAGGAGGAGGAGGAGGAGGAGGAGGAGGAGGACGAGGCGGAGGCGGAGGGCGAGGAAGAGGAGAATCCCACCAGCCCTTTAGGGCGTAGGTGGTTTAGGATGTTTCCTCTTCCACCCCCTTCTTCCCTTTCGGGGAGGGGTTCACCCCTCCCCCTACCCCCCCCCCAGGACCTGGACAGGGCGTTTCGCGAGTCGCCGGAGCGTCCAAAACGGCCTCGGCGAGGAAGCCAAAATCATTTGTTTTATTAGGGTTTGGGCCTCATTTTGACATCTTCTGGGGCAACGCTAATTGAGGACCCCCCCTTCGTTCATCGATCTCCTCCGAGATGGCCCCAAGAGCTCTCCCAAGGCTCCCAACGGTGCCCCAAGAGGGCCCC